TTTAGCAAATCTTTACTAACTTCAACAATGCATGATACAGTAAATTTCTGCTCCTCTAGGTCATCTGCCATTTTCTCGTGAACATGATACAACTCCAGAGCAAAATCATCTTTTATAATGCACAAGTAATCATCTGACGAAGCACCATGACAAGCTTCATCGTCCTTCGTACTTACAGGACAACCCCATTCAAACCTGAAGCACAATTGGTTAATTATTTCTTTAATACTGATATTAGGAAATAATAATGGACTGAACCATAGAAAATTTGAGTCTGTTTTCAGTCTACATCTCAAAGAATGTYGTGTTTGGACCTGCAGTAGCTCCGGTTTCAATATAAGATGTGGTTTTGTAATTCAAATCACACAGCATACCCGGTGATATTTTGCAGCGTTTTCTCATCTTCGCTTTSCACATTTCTGATAAAAAGACAACCGTTGTGCTCCAAGATAGCTAGGTTACGATATCCAGCTGAGATCTTTGACGAAGAAATATTCTTGATGTGCAAACTTTTGCTGAATTTCTTGATTGTCACAAGAAGTGATGCCCTGCCGTCCGCCATCTTGTTATCTCACGTGACTGTCCGCTGACCCCTGCGCCAATAACCTCAGTCCACAGGCAGCCCATTTCTGTTTAAATGTAATTTCAACGGAAAAATACCCATGAACTATAAATATGTAATTACGCAAATTTTAACAAAATGTCCAGAGGCGTCGGTTGAATATATCGACTGCGGAACTTCTGGCTATGTACTTCTGATTCGATTGTATCACAAGCAATATATTTTGCCATTGCATGCTATTTGCAACATTTAAAAAATTTTCAATAATTCTTAAAGATCATGGAACTGACAATCAAATAAAGAAAATGAGATGCGATAATTATCGCAGAAATACCCCCAAAGGCCCTCAATGGCAGCTTTTTTTTAACAGTGTTTGCGTTAACTAACACCTTGATTTGAGTTATAAAAGAACATGGCAAACAAATTGTGACACCATCTTTAAAATGTGTCATACTCTTAAGTAGGTACCATTGACGTTCTATTTTTCATAAGAATATATTGACGTTGTTCTTAAATTTTATTTGAACAGCTCAGCAAATAAAAAGAAACACAAAAAGTCAAAAACATTTTGAAAATGAGCAATGCGCAATGTATTTTTCCCGCCATAATTTTATGCGCTACTTTCTTCTCTGCTCTGCTTTTCTATAAACAAGGAAAGGTTTTTTTTTTATTTCCCCGGACGTTAGCGTTTGCTTTCTTGCTTCCGTTCTTYTCAAGTTTATCTCGAATTTTGTTTATCGATATTGCGATAATGTAGCTGGCTTCTTAATTTTGTTTTGTTTTTGTTTTTTTTTGGCGGAACTTCCACGCCGCCTCACAACCTCTTAGCGTTTTCTACTGGCGAACAGCCATTCCTCTCAATCGTCGTATTTTTAACCGTTATTTTCGTTTTAACTTCTTATCATTCCTCAAAACGRTCTCGTCTTCTCATAATGTAAAAGAACGCCTTGTTAAATCAATCCAAMGAAATTACTTATGCAAAATACAAAATACAAGCTCTCCTCTCCTTTTTCTTCCTTCTGCTTAGCTTCTTTAAGTCGCCTATGGCGTCGTCGTTGTTTTCTGTTGTTATCATTTTCTTCATTGTTTTTTAAGTCCAGCACTAACAGCTGACATCTTTCTAATATTTTCACACTAAACTCCTTATTTRTTTCTTATTATATTGCTTATTCTTTTTGCATTGCGTGAGGATTTTCCCCTAAAGATAAGATWAACTGCATATTGGCGCCCTTCTGTGAATTTTTCTCATCTTTAACTCAAGAGCTACTGAGCAAGAGCCTGAATCTTCATTGTTTTCTTTAATGTTTTTAAGCCTAGGATTACAACTAACTCGTTTATGGACAACCCTCCAAGAATTAACTTATCTATAATCCCGTTAAGATTTCTTTTTCTTTTTTTAATCCCTTGTTGGTATAGCACATTTAACTTATCTTGTTAGCCTAAGTTGCAATTGTAGTATTTTGAAGAAAAAGKTTGATTAATCCATAGGAAAATGAATACCGTAGCTTTTCAGCTCGAAATAACTGTAACATAAAACTGCTTGAGTTCTAGGCTGTTTTATAATCCTTCTTATCCATTTCTTACACGTAATTACTTTGAAATTATCACTAAAGCTGAAGGATTGAAGGCTTGAAATAAAGTTTGAATATGATTAAATGAAAATATCCTGCGGCTGCTAATTGCTTACCAAAACTTTAAGTTCAAATGGCGTCAGGAATATAAAAGACTGGTCAGTGATACCGTATTAGTCTCAACATTAAAAATGTGATAAACAGAACAATTTGGAATCGATAAATCCTGGACTCCTGACTCGTTTTTATTTGTATAATTTAATCCAGTTACAGTAAGAGAGAAAAACAACAACGTCTTTAAATAGCACGCACATTTTTCACTACAATTAAATAGGCAATTAAGAATAAGAATTAAAAGATTGAATAAGAATGACTGTCATTAAAATGGTAAAACTAACAAATTATAAAACGGAAAAGGCGTACGACATCACATAAGATTAAGTTAATTGAATTTAGGGAAGAGTATAAAATGTGTACAATTTTTGCTGTAAAAGCTATTATGATATAAAAAGGCGTTTTGAGGAAGTATTTTGGATAAAGATAAGATTAAAATAGAATTGAATGAGGAAATAACATTAATAGGAAGACTAAAGTATGTTTTTACAGTTGGATGGTTTGATTGAGTAGTTGGACGTATCGATTGACGTGGTAGGGCGAGACTTTGGCCTGTCGGYCGATCTTTGGAGAGATTGCTCGTATCATACTGAATGATATCCAAATATTTATACATACATAGTATATTGTTCAGAAATCGTCTGTATTTCAATTGCAAATAATGCACCTTTTGGCGCTAATAATAATAACATCAAATTCTAAATCATTGGGCTGCGACGCCATTTTGAACGGCAAAACATGATATGTAATGCAGTCTTTACTTAAGTACGTCCGCTGAATTATCCTTAAAAATGTATTTTCTGTTTACTCTCCATAATCTGCACAAGCGTGGCTTTTTTTAGCAAATACGACACAAAAAATCATATTTTAGGACTATTTTGTTAAGGATAATACAGAGCGAAAACAACGTAACACTGATCTCCCACCATGCAAGTTGTACAAAATGGCGTCGCTGCACATACCTCATGCTCTCATAATTCGATTAGCTCTGCTTTTAGCAATAAAATCGAAATTAAAATCTCAAGCCTACAGAATTCAGAGTTGTCATATTCCAATTAATTATAATAAGATGAAGATTGACAACCCTAAAGCAATAATGCTATATACTCGTACGTAATTGAAGCCCTATGGACATGTAGCTCAGAAGATATGTGCATGTACGTAGACGCAAGGGAAGTGATTGTGAACGATAGAAAACTGCATCCGCTTATAAGAAGAATCTTGACGCAGTGTGCCACGTGGCGTTAACGTGTGAAAATATCGCATGTGGGACGAAAAGTGCAATATGTTCGCGCATGAGCACAAGCGCATCCCTCACGAATAATCAAYRCGCGGAGTTTGAGAAGTCATCAAAGCCCTCCATCGGACTTGAGCGTTAGTCAAAATAAAACGTACGTGCCTAAGTTAAGCAATAAAAATTTATTAACTGGAGATTAATTAATTAATCGAGAAAAATAAACATACTTTATTCATTTGTCATATTTTGTATTTATCATCGGAGCTCCGCTATTAAGAGCAGTTAACTAAAATGTTTGTCAGTTACTTCAGAGTTAACTAATATGAAGTATAAATCTAAGCTACTTCAGAGTTAACTATGATCACGTACAACAGTTTTTAAAACTGGTATTTAAAATACAAGGACACTTATTTTTTCTTGACTCAAAATGAATAATAACTTCAGAGAGTAAATAGCCACAGTCCGAAAATACACCTACTTGCAGAAACGTAAGACAAAAGACAAAAAAGTCGACTAGCCTCAGTGATCTTCTTTTGTCTTTTTATTTTATTCCTTTTTACTAAATACAAATGTCCTATTTTCTATGACACGTTTCTGCAAGTAGGTGTATATCATACTGTAATATCCTGCAAGTAGGTGTATAACATACTGTTATATCCTGCAAGTAGGTGTATATCATACTGTTAAATCACATAGTTTTGCTCCGTTGTTTCAGGCGAATTTCTTTGTCTCTGTTTAGAATCGGCTCAGCAGCGTTACAAGACCTGGACTCTTTCTGCTCAAAAACCCTGAAAACAGACGACAAGAAGAGAGTGTATTTTTGTCGAAAACGTTTTGTCAAAGCACCGTAAACTAGCGGATTCATACAGCTATGAAAATCAGTCAACAACTCCGCATAATGATGAAGTTTGTACAGCATGTGAAAACCAATGTTTTTCAATTGATAAACGTACAGCAACCAGAAAACTTGGAGTGGAAGAGTAAAAACCGCAAATAAAAACACAATTACAGCAATGGTTCGTGTTATCTCGATGTTTTCCCTTCGAATTTCTTGCCTGACAATGTTCTTTTGATATTTCTTAAGATTCAAACATATTTGAACGTACGCGATGATTATAATCGTAAGAGGTAAAATATACTGAATAAAGAAAATCGAGACAACATAAGTCTTTTGTTGCTCTTGTGTCCAAGTGAATGAACAGCCTTGGTTTCCGACGCTTGAAAAGACACTCAAGGGAACTGTCAATAATGAAGAAAGGATCCAAATTGTCCCTGCACACGTAAAGGTTCGCGCGTGTGTCATAACTCCTTTCCATGGGTTTAAGATTGCGTTTCGTCTTTGTACCGCCATTGCAGTTATTGTAAAAATGCTTGCACAGTACGGCAGTGTCATTAAAGGATATAGTACTTTGCAGACTAAACAGCTTAGAGGTATTAAAGGTGCCACACGGAGAAGGAATTTCAATGGCAGAGAAATTGAAACTGACAGCAAATCCGCAGCGGCAAGGTTGACGAGAAAGATGTCATTAGATGTCCTTCGTTCCCTTTTCACAAAAATAACCAGAAACACAAGTATATTTCCTACGACTCCTAGAACAAAGGTTATAACATAGACTACAAGGGTGAAGAATATCTCGGCCTTAGAGATMACCTCATCWTCRTGATGCATAWAGCTGGAGTTGTTCATTTTGCTACGATGGATGCACTTGCTACGGGATGAATCGACTTGGTGAAAATTAAATAGCGTTGACAACGAATACCATAAACTCCCCCTTTTTAGGTCAAATAAGAGGAAGAATTTAACTTTTTTTCGATGAGTTAATTTGAAGACTTTGTCGCCTCGCTGTAGCCACAGAGTAACTTTAAAGCCATCTTTGATCTCATTTCATTTCGGCACTGACGCCTTTTTGTTGTCGGAATGGTTTGAACAGCCAAAAGCTTGTCTTGAAAGCCGTGCCTTTAAGAAATAAAGAAATGTATTTCAGCAGAGTAATCAGTAGGAGATAAGGCTCGCCTGCAGACTCATTTTATTTGTCAAATCGCATTGGGTGCTAATGGAGATCTCTATTGTGCCATTATCTATTTACCAATAATGCTTACGCTAAAGTCCGGATTATAGTTATAGACTTAAGACAAAAAAGGTTTAAATCGAGATGCCACCTTATTCTGTCTCYTCTATCATACGTACTCTGACTGGACAGCTCTAAGTTCCTTACTTCAAACCGGGAGCTTCAAAAGMCAATACTCAGTAGAAAATTAACTAGAGATGCATGAATTAGAATCGGAATTGGTCTCGTTGYGTTTGATCAGTTTCTCATGCGGCGTAAATAGTCTCAAGTTAACCATATGTTCCTAGAAGAACGTATTATTGTGTCAAATGAATGCGAGGRAAACCTCGGCTATAAATAGTGTTTATCGACAATTGATGATAACTATTTCAGACATCTGTTTGATCTCAATAATGACTTTCTGTCRAAAAATGCTTTCCGTTTAGCTCGGTAAACAGTTCTACGGTCTTCTACCACTTTATTTGAATAGTGGTCAATTCCCGCAGAGCACAAAAAAGCAATCAACGTTCCCTTGAAGAAGCCGAAAGTGTTTACGAGCGTTAAATACTCAGCGCCATTTTAGAGGAACAAAATACTTGCGAGAATGATGTGTCTTCCAATTCAAACGCTTTAACTGAGTTCAGACCTTTTCATTGCTATTATTTTGCTTTGGGAAGAAGTGTTTGTCAAACGTTTTTATTGTGGGTTACGAATGATCGTTTGTCATGATATCATGATGTCAATCAGTACCGAGCATGCGCAAATGTCATATAGAAACGTTTTAATGTTGCCATGACAGCAATTTGTGATTTGCTAAGGCATAACAATCACCCACCGACTCCTACAACTTGCAATACAACGGTAATGCTCAATATAACAAAATAACAACAACAAAAAATACATGAGTTTGACGCGGCTGCCTTGCTTTTGTTTTTGAGGTTGTTTACATTCTTTTGCCATCCAATATGGCGTATTTTGTACCATGTGACCGTTTTTCATGCAAAAGTCCTATTCGACCAAAAAATTAACTTCTCCACCGAGTTCGACTTTTTTGTCGAATAGATTGGAACAGAAAAGTCGTATTCAAGAATAGGAGCCTTTACGGACGAGACTATCATAGCTAAAACACGAGGAGCAGCAGAGTTGCTACTGTTTTATTGTTGATCAACTCGAATAATCTGTATTCATTGTAATTTTAGTTTTGAAACCGCAAACGCTTGCTTATAAACTTGAAGTGTCCCAGTTTATGTGAGGAAATCTTGAGACTGTATGTCAGAAATTCAGATATTTTGTCATGTATGCTTAGCTTATTTAAATTGTAAATGACAGGCTGTTTTTTAACTGAATACTGGGTTTTCACAAATGATGAATAGGCGTTTAGTTACGATAAATCAATAAATGTATATCCTGTAGTTGTAATTAGTGCAAAGCATAGAGATAGCATAAATTCATACATTAGGCCTAGGAATTGTCGTTTATCGAAGCCAATCAAACTGAAGACCTTAGTCTAACCTATTTACAAGAATAAAATCAATTAAATGAAAGCTAATTTAATCTATTAGAGGCATTAGGTAGTTACGAGATTTTAGTCTGTGTTTATCTTGTCTAAGATGGTTCAATGGCAGGATGTGAAAAAAGCATTAAAAATGATGCTGCGAGCACTTTTTCACCGAAGAGACCGCGAGAATGAAGCGTGATTTCTTTTCGTACGAATTTAAATCAACTGAGCTTAATACATTCCTAAATTTCTATTATTATTTCCTTTTGGCGTATAGGAAATGTTATATGTTATTGTTTAGATTTTGGTTTTGATGGTAAGATTTAGGTATCATCTAMAAAAAATGACGAATGAGAATACACAACAAAAAGTCGTGAATTGATTTACAGAAATGCAAAAGAAAACGTTAGATATTTCTTATGTTTATAACTGAGTGAAAACAACCAATGAAATATAGCCGTGATTTAATAATTAAAGTTTTTATAATGCTTTGAGAAATGCCCCTGAAAATTGGTTTTGGAAGCAYATTTCGCGGTTTCAGAAAATAGTGCATTTACGCTAAAGAGTTTTTGGTATGAATTCAAATATAAAATCTCTACGATAAAAGATTCATCACGAGCAAAAAAAAAACCGGAACAATAACATTTAAATATTTATTGCGCTCCCTGTTCACAGATATTGCTTATTAGATCTGATCTTGCTTTGCTATTTCGGTCAACAGCAACTGATTTTTCCATAAGATAGATCACGAAAGATCGACAGGCATCGTGGTGATTTCCTTAAGGCAACAATGTACAATTGATTATCTTTGAATTTCACTGAAATATTCCTTGCGGCTTTGACCCTGTTTTCATGTACTACTTTCAGCGATATATTGCTTTCAAACATGTTTTATAATATTGACGAGCTCAGCTCAAAATCATATAGAACATGATAAAGGCTAAAAGCCAAAAGCCAAAAGGACGCACGGGAAATTACACATTATATGATCTAGCATCATTCTTACATTAGATCTCATAATGCATTTAATTAATGAACGCATTTCCCATAATCCATTTCGACCTCAGTTTTTATGTTTATAGTGGACTATTACCTATATATCATGATAATTATTTTTGTAAAGGTAATGTGCTTCAGATATAACGGTCTATTCTTGATTTTCTTCGTCAAATAAAATCTTTTAAACTATTCCAGTATTTTTTTCGGAGGGCATAGTAATAACACTGATGAAAAGTCAATATTTGAAGAGCTCATTCTCTTGACTTCTGAGTGCCAATCCGTCTTACCATTTTGTACTTAGGGCTAATATACATGTGGAATTCAATTAAGACTTGTTTATTTATTATTATGAGACAATGGATGTGAGTAATGAGAAACGGAAAGCAATTAGGAAGACATAAAAATCACTGTATTTTGTAATTTGTATAAAAAAGGAAAAGCAGTGAAAGATTCAGAGTTTATTGTCGACTAAAAACGTTACGTTGTAATACTTTTATAGAATCTGATGTTGTTTTTCTTGAGCAAATGTTCATAAATGAATATAAATCGAGACATTTTATAGTAAATATTTAGACCGCAATGCAAAATACAGTTTTGAAGTAAAAACTGAATGGGGTTAATGAATAGTGTAAACAGTGTATTAGTCGAAAACCCCTTTAACGTAGGAATGATGATAATAATAAATAAACTTGACTTGTTTGGCAAATATTCACATTAGTAAGTATCAATAAATTGCATCATATTGCCACCAAAACAATAATAACAACAGCGACAACAATAAGAATTATAATTGTAATAATAATAATTATTATTATCTTATTATGATTATGTTATAATAATGAATATCATAATAAAAATAATAATTACTATTAATAATAATAATAACATTTTAATTTTTCGATTAAAAGACCGTCAATAGGTCAATGAAGACATGAAACTCTTACCTTCTAGGGGTACAGTGAGACGTTTTTTTGGTCCAAGTTCTCACCAGTAGAAAAGAAGTAAAAAATCCGTTTGCTAATGAAAAACCTCCTGAGACACAGCACCGATCCTAGACAGCGAATGGCCTAATATCCACAAACCCAGAAGTGATATAGGCTATAGAGTCACATGACAGGGAGCTTTTAAAATCCCCGGAAAAAATTTGGATTGATTTCAATTATGAATGAGGGAGTCTTGATAATATTGGCGGAAATACTAATTTCTAGATGAAAGAGATTACAAATGCAGCCTAACACCTTAGTGCTAAATAAAAGATGGGGATTTTGATAAACCTTGACTAGCTGTTCTACTATTTCTCTGCCTAATGGCGTACTGTAGTGCTTTCGTATCATTTCTTCAGGTTTACTTTCCATGCCAATAGGGCAAAACTTATTTATTTTTTGTTTTGTTTTTCACTTCAAATTTAAAGTTAAAAGACAATTTGACGCTGTGAGTGTCGAAGGCGGAGAAGCCATCACGCGAAATGCCTCCCAAGTGGCAAAAAGAAACAGCTCAGAGCAATACGTCAGTCAAAGTAAACCATACGACGTTTCCACTTAGTGTGTTTAAAATCTTGTTACATTTGAGCGTCAGCACTCCTACACTGGCCTCAGGGGATTTCGAAAGGGATTTGAAAGGGGCAGAAATTACCTTTATCATAACAAAACAGAATCTTTCATAAGAACGTGAGGAAATGAACGAACGAGGGAATGGAATGATGAGTGACATAATGAATGGATTGATGGATTGTTGGATAACTGAGATGGAAATCTGGAAAAATATATGGATGAAAGAATGAATGAATGGATGAACAAACGAAAAACGGATGGAAACATGGATAAATGGATGGATAGATGAGTGATAAATTGACCGATGAATGAATAAATGAAAGGATGAAGTAATTGAAGAATGAACGAACTTGGACGTCGGATGGTTGGCGAAGAATGAATGCTAACAATGACTACTTTATAAATAAAGATTGTGCTTCCTCTGAGTAAATAAGGTTTTTATCTTTAACCGAGCTTTCGGTCAAACCGTGCAAAGAAATTCTGAACAATGACTACTTTGATTTCTTCAGTAATAACATTGTACAAATCGTATTTTATTTTGACGTGTAATAATGAATATATATCATATCACAGTGACTTTCTCCTCAAACCAATCAATCTTCATTKGAATGAAAAATCATAACACTGCCATCTCGCTCATTATAAATAATGTCAAAATATACATGTATTATATTATACCACGGAAAAACAAACTCACATTAAGACATACCATACATTTCCATTTGAGGGACAACCGGAGAAATGCGTCAGGGCAATATCATGGKGTGAAAGAYTTGCTCAACTTCCATTGTAACGYTGCTAGCTTTCTCAATGAATGTTAATTGATTATGATGAGGGATTTGCAAATGTGATATTTTTTAATCAAATGTCAAAGAGGATATAACGACAGTTGTAAGATATAATGTCGACAAAAACGTGCGATCACGATAAAACACGAAGTATATCACGAATGACGAAGACTGATGAAAAGATAAATAAAGAAATAAATCCACTAATATTAACAGCAAAAAAGAAAAGAAAAGTCAAAAGATAGACGAGATAGAGGAAGTGGGAAATGGGGGAATAAAAAAATAGAAAAAAATAGAAAAAAAAGAACGGAACATATGGATGTATATCTAATAAAAGTAAAGCTAGAGTTAAACTGTTTCATGGTGAAAATGGATTATAGAAGAAGYCAAAAACTCGTAAAATAGATATTACACTATTGCATATTAATGGCTCTAATTCCATTGTTTAATTTAATGTTTCCTTTTTATGTCTATATTCAGCTATCACACCTTGACCTTGATCTTGGATTGYTTTACGATTAGTGATGTCCCCATTCAATGCCAAACAAGATATAACAGCGTTGTGACACACTAAAAAAACCAGTAATTTAAGAAATATTTYAAACAGAAGAAGAAAAGGAATAAGATATAGAAAAGAAGGACGAAAGGAGGGAATATATAGAAAAAGGAAGTCTTAAAAACGTTCGTTACAGTACACCCTACAGCAATTCATGTTTAAACACCGACATTTCTACAAGTCAGAAGACACTATGTGGGCGTGCACTTAACAGAAACGAATTTATTAGTATCAGCTGAGCATATGCCCTGAACAACGTACACAAACAAGSCACTTGAAGCTTTCTCCTCAACGTCTTTGACATGTATAAAAGGCTTAAATAATGACACAATCAAAACCTGCTCGCACCACATCAGCTTCGAGAGATTTCCTTCACTATGGAAGTGCACTTGGAAAAGATTCAGTTTTTGTCTCGTTAAGAGTGCAATACAAACTAAGTTATCTTAAACAAGCTTTGAAAATTGTAAGTTTGAAGTAAACCGGTAAAACATGTATTAGTTTGATAGTATACCTAATATTTTGCTTTCTTTTGCGTCTATTTGACTAGTAGTATACATCTTAACTGGAAAGAGTGAGACGACCATTGAAACGCCGTAAAAGAAAACCAGTTGGTATCAGATTCCCATTTCTCTCTGATTGGTCCTTTTAGAATACTTTATAGAATTAGTCTCGTGCAGAATTCTTGAACCTTTGACAGCATGAGAGATTTGCAAGTAAAGTTCGTCTTCCGTGTTATAACACACCCGCCATCTTGATGCTTTTTTCAATACCATGATGCAATTCGCCCCCAAAAAAACATGGCGGCATGTTTGCACCAAGCAATCAACCACGACAAATTCCTCGTATTCAATCATTCTGATATGATTCAAACGACAAAAGACCGGCCGGCATGTTGGTTGAATCAACTATCAAACTTATTGCCATACATCGTGAACATTTAGCTCTCACTCGTGTCCAGGTACGCTCGACCATTTTTTCACTAGTGCGCTTGCGCTGTAGTATCAAATTTCGCGGGAAGTAACGCGTTCGTGATGTGATAGTCAACATGGAGTCGCTGAAATCAGTACTCCAAAGAAAGCCACCGAAACTCTCCATTAATGAATGTTTTACTGAAGTTATTAAGCCGAAAAATGTTAGAAAGAAACGCCAAGATCGAAAATTATAAAGAATGTTAAAATCCAGTTTGTGGGCTACAGTAATTCGTGCGATGAGTGGAGGTCTTGTTGTTATGAAGGGGATAAAACTAAAGCGAGTTTTTCAGCCTTTAGAACCTTATAAGATACCATCAACGGCTTCTCTTATGGACAGAAAGGACTTTGAGTTATGGAGAATATTATCGTGAGATTAAGCGAAGGTTGTATTCTGGATAAAAAGATGACTCGGCCAGTACTCGTATTTCATGAAGGAATCGCTGTAGTTGAGAACTTAAAACAAGAACGCGGGAAGTCCGTTTATCGTATCTTTAAAATAAGGACTTAGAATGTGTACTAGGAGACAAATGCAATAACCGCATATTCAATAAAAATGGTGATTTTGCGTTTGTTATCGAAGGAAGTGTCAGTTCTAGACATATAACTAGTTATATATTAGGCAGCAAAAACTAAATAAAATTAAAAAAATCAAATATGTTCAATTTCGAATTTAAAGTGCCGTACTTTATAATTCCATACAAAAACCAAGGAGAATTACTCTTAAATGTGCTCTGCTTTCCATTTTCACTYTCGTTTTGCGCCCTCACTGTGACCGTACTGAGGGTCAAGACACAAAATACGACAAGTACACAAACTTCGTACGCCAAAACCCGAACCGAAATCTTAACGAACATACAAGTATTATACATCAAATTACGCCAAATTTATTGGAGAGTTCAAATTCAGAGGTATTAATTGGATACACGCGCGATTGACGTAGCTAGAGGTCAAATACTGTAAAGCGTACATCATCACTAGATGAATCCTTTGTAAAAACAGCCAAAATTATTAACTTCAACCCCAAAAACCCGAACTCAATTTTTTGAAATTTGAATTTATTTTCATGGTTATGTATTGCTTAAATGTGTATCTTTTGAGAATCGGAGGTATTATTTGCGTCAGAAAAAAGGAACTGCTTGAAAAGTAAGAAAATGTGCAAAAATCAGCCACATTTTGTATGGGCGCAGTTGCGTGACACTCGACCTCGAAACGAGATACAAAGAAATGTTAAGGGCAAGTTTCATATG